ACATATCACAGGCATCAATATTTCATCCCTTTTTATTCCGAGTGATTGTAGAATTAATATATAATCATTAATGTAAAATATAAAGGACTTGAAATAACAATTATCCATTCATCACCACCACCCACTCTTCTGCTATAATTGTCTTAGGCAGGTGCATGTGTTACAAACCCCACAATGACTATTATATTATTCAATATTGGTTATTTTTAAGAAATAAAGAGGAAATAATAGTTCTTTAGCTGTGCCTTCGTATTTTCTATTTCTAACAATATTCCTTCCTTCAGTAAGATTCATGTTTCCATTTTGTGTAATCTCTATTCAGACTGAAATCATCAGTTAGCCTTTTGTGCACCACAGGTCTGCTGGCAAAGACAAGTCCATACTGTCTCCGAAATCACACTCAGATTCCAGATTCCTAATCTTTTCTCTTTTCTTTTCTTTCTTTTTTCTTCTTTCTTTCTTTTCTTTCTTCTTCTTTTCTTCTTTCTTTCCTTCCTTCCTCTCCTTCTTCCTTCCTTCTTCCTTCTTCTTCCTTCCTTCCTTCCTTTCTTCCTTCCTTCGTTCCTTCCTTCTTTCTTTCTTCTTTTTTTTTTTTTGAGACAGGGTCTTGCTCTGTTGTGCCGGCTAGAGTGCCGTGGCATTATCATAGCTCACTGCAGACAAAAACTCCTGGGCTCACGTGATACTCCTGCTTCAGCCTCCCACATAGCTGGGACTACACGTCCAAACCACTTTGCCCAGTTAATTTTTCTATTTTTGTATTTTTTTTGTAGAGTTTGCTCCAGCTGGTCAGTAACTCCTGAGCTCAAGTTATCCTCCCTTCTTGGCCTCCCAGATTGCTAGGTGTACAGGCAAGAGCACATGGCCCAGATTTTTAATTCTTAAAGCCATTTTATGCCCATTTACTCTTTCTTTTTTGTTAATGGACTCAGACAACTCTCAGATTAGGAAAACTAGAATCCACCCTGAATTGCTTTTCCTCTTCTTGCCAAATCCATTGCATCACCTGCCTGTTTCACCCATAATCACTGCCTTCAGACCCATGTTGGCTGTGGCTTCCTTTTTTAGGATGGTGTAAACTGACCACACAACCTAACCACTAGCACACATCGCTGGCGCTGCCTGGGCCACTGCTGAGGTCACCCATCTAATCCACTACACACTGGGCAACCAACTGTCTTTGAAGTACTGATTGGGTCAGGGATGTCCCTGGGGACTCTGGGCCTGGACTGTCCTCGGCATCCTATTCACATCCTCTGCTCCCTCCTCAACCCGCCTGGCATACTTTCCACCTCTCCCATTAAACACACCCTGTGACCGCGATGAGTGACATCTGCCTTAGTGCAGGCCTCCTGGAATCCAAGTTAATCATTCACTAAGGAAGGCACATCTGACATCAGGTGACCACACTGTGCAAGGAATCCTGGAAGATCAGGGACAAGACTCTGCCTTGCCTTTCCTTAGGGCCGTTCCAGTTCCCAGGGAGGTGAGGCCAAAAATCACCTCAAAGTCGATGAAGGCGCAATGAGTCTAGAGGGGCTGCCCAGGAAGAGGTGACAGATGCCAGTGATGGCAGGGGACTGGTGGACATAGAGGGAAAAGGCCACACAGAAAGGGCCCCCAGAGGGATGTGAAGCCAGAGTTGTGGGACAGGGGGGGTGAAGGCAAGTGAGGCTGGACGAGGCTCTGTAGTCTGTGGGCGTCTCTGACTGAGGGAGACTGAGGCTGCAGCCAGAGAGGTGAGGTCGCGTCAGTCCACAGACCTGGCTCAGGGTGGGGTTTCAGAGTGGTTAAGAGATAAGGAAAATGAGACTGGGAAGAACAGAGGCTTATTCCAGTTCTTGTCCTGCCTGGACTCTAAAAAACCTGTCCCCTCCCGGTCCCCGGCAATAGTCATTGACAGGTAAGTTTCCTTGTTGGGTGACTGCCGTATTTGGGCCTCCGCTGTTCTATTCCATCAGTCTGTCCTTCTTTGGTGACTCACCCACCTTTGACTCACACATAGCTGGTCAGGAACGCCTGAGCAAGATGGAGATCCTGTCCTCTACAAAGACAGAAAACTTAGCCATGCGTGGCAGCATGCACCTGTAGTCCCAGTTATGTGAGAGGCTGAAGCAAGAGAATTGCGTGAGCCCAGGAGTTGGAGGTTGCAGTGAGCTGTGACCATGCCACTGCACTCTAGCTGGGGCAACAGAGCAAGACTCTGTCTCAAATAACTGAAACAAAACATATTAAAAAAGCGGGCATGGTGGCACATGCCTGTAGTCCCAGCTACTCGGGAAGCTGAGGCAGGAGGATCGCTTGAGCCCAGGAGTCTGAGGTTGCTGTGAGCTAGGCTGACGCTAGGGAACTCTAGCCAGGGCAACAGAGTGAAACTTTGTCTCACAAACAAACAAACAAACAAACAAAAAAACATACCAAAAAAGAAAAAACTGAAGCAATCCCTTTTTTCTTCTATAGATCACCCACACACTCTTACAGCTGCCCTGGATAGTCAAAATTCCTACATAGTCAGGTTGTTGTGAGAATTACATGTGTTAATATGTGTGTGAAGTGCTGAGAACAGGGCGAGAGAAGCACGTGCAGAGATTTGGCACAATCATGGCTCCCAGTGATATTATAACCAGCCACACCTTCCCGGCCAACAGTAACATAACCTGGCGCCTGGAAAGCACACATGCTCCCCTCTGCCAGAGTCAAAAATGGAGGAAGGACATCCCTGGAGTCGTCACAGCCTCTCTGGAGTTGGGGGGAGGCAGGGTGGTGGGATCTCCTGCCTCCTGATTTCATTTAGGTCCCTGGTGTCACCTCCTCCACCAGCTGTGGGCTCCCAGGAAGCAGAATTCCCACAGGGCTCATTTGTCCTCCCCCCACCCCAGGCACAGACTCTCCCAGAGCCAAGGGCTCATCGTCAACTTCACCGGTGAACAACTGTCCCCCAGGACACATGAGGTGAGATGGTGGTAGCCTCAGCTCACAGCCTGAGGACAGGCTCCAGGCTGCAGCACAGGGAGGGGACCACAGACAGGAGCTCCCAGGGGAGAGTGCAGGGCAGAGCCCTGGAGAAGCAGTGGCACAGAGGACTCAGGAGCCCTGCAGAGGGCTCACCCAGTGTCTGCTGAGACCCCTGTGTGCCTGAGAGGAGCCACCAGGGAGGGGAGCCGTCAGACATTAGGGGATGAGTCAGCATCACTGCCCATCCAGGGCTGGGAATTGCTCAAGTTCCCTCACACCTGATGACAGGGTGCTGCCCAGTTGTCATCAGAAGGGAACCACCCTTAGTGCTTTACTAAATTAGTCCCCGAATAAAGCAATGAAGATAAGACAGTGAGTTACAAGTTACTATCAGATGAGCAAACTGATCCCAGTACGCAATACACTTTAAAAGGCAAAAGATTTATATGGTTTAAAGAGAAACCAGAGTATTGTAAAAGAACACAACTAGGTCAGGTGTGGTGGCTCTTACACCTGTAATCCTAGCACTCTGGGAGACAGAGGTGGGAAGGTTCACTTGAGGTCAGGAGATCGAGATCAGTCTGAGCAAGAGTTAGATCCTGTCTCTACTAAAAGTAGAAAAATTAGCTGGGCTTGGTGGGCGTTGCCTATCGTCTCAGCTACTTCGGAGGATCACTTGTGCCCAGGAGTGTGAGGGAGGTGCTGTGAGTTACAATGACGTCACTGTTCTGTTGCCTGTAATGGTGGCAGGCGAGGAGGGGAGGGGGAGGGAGGAAGGGGAGGAAGGGAGAGGGAGGGGGACAAGGGGAGGGGAGAGAAGAGAGGGGGAGGGAAGGAAGGGGAGAGGGGAGGAGGAGAGTTGTCTCAAAAACAAAACCAAACCACAACTAAAATGCACATGGGGGGGCAGGGACAGAGGGATGGAGAGGCGAAGGAGCAGAGGGAGAAAGAGTGGAGACGGGGCAGACCCCCAGGCCGTGGGTCCTGATGACGGGCTGGGCAGTTCCCGCGGGGCCCAAGGGACCCTCTGTCCTGGAATTCACAGCAAGTCCCACCCAGACCTCGCTTTTCCTTGGCCGCCCCGCGCCGGACCTGGGCGTCCCGCCCGGACTTGCCCAGCCACAGGTGCCCGGCCAGGCACCCCTCTTTGTGCCCTAATCCCCTGACCCCTTGTAGATCAGGCTTGCTCTGCTCGAGCAACGGACCGCGGCGGGGACTCACCGACAGGACACCGACCACGACGAGCATAGTGGTCTTGAGGTTGCGGAGCAGTGACCCGGGTCCTGGGCCGCGCCCTTCTGGGGCCAGTCCCATGGCGAGAGGGAGCGCTCTTGTCGCGCGCGCGCTGCGAGGACGAATCCCCGAAGTCGATGAAACCGTGTTGGCGCTGATTACTGTCCTGGGAGCGGTGCTTCTGCGGACTGAAAGTTCGTGTTCGGGGTAGCGTCTGCGGTGGCAGAGCCAGTGCGGAAATTCCCCAACACTTGGATCAATAAAAGAGCGACCGAATGAAACACGCCCCAGGGGCGGGGAGGAGGGACAGGGCTCAGCCAGTGGTGCGTCTTGGTTTCTGCGTACTGAGGGCGCGGGACGGGCACCGACGGAAACTGGGGGCGAGTAGCTGGGCGGGGAGTGTGGGGCGAGGGGAGGTGACGCCCCCCCGCCCCTCCCCCGCGGGGTTGCGGCATTGCGGCATTGCAAATGCAACCCAATCCAGACACCTTTACGCCGCAGCTGCTCCTCCTGTTCGCAACCCTGAACTGCTCTGGGACTTCTACCCAAATCTCAGCTTGTTCTGCTCGCCTCTTCTCCCGCCTTCTCAGCGGTGCCAGGAAGTCCCTGCTTCCTGTTCCTTCGCAGCAAAGCGATCTGGCAGGGGCTCAGCCCCAGCGGCGCATGTTTTCTTCTCCAGGTTAGATGTCAGTTAAATGTCATTTCCCCTCCACTGCGCCTCCTGTCAGGCAAGCCACAGAAGCCCAATTCAGCCTTTCTTCTGGATTTCCCTTCCACGTTAGATTCTTGAAAGCCCTCGAGAGGCAAGACAGTGTGAGCCTACTTGGCACAGGAAACTGAATGGCCCTCGGTGAGGAACCCGTGTGGGTCAGGCCTCTCCACGCCCCTCCCCACCCAGCGCCGTGCCAGGCAGAGTGTAGAGACCCAGCATCCCAAAGGCCACTCGAGTCAAGTTCCTGCCTTCGTGGTGGACACAGGGTGAATTAGAGGCTGTAGAGTGGGTAGGAAAGAAGGGATCCTGGGGTGCCTTTGGTGATCACCTCACCCGCACCCCAGCAGTTTTGCAGGCCCAGCACAGGTGAGGGGGACTGACCTCGTGGGTGCTGGTATTGAGGCCCAGTGAAGGGAAGGAGGCTTGGGAGCGGCTTCCAGAGCTGAGCACAGCTCTCTGGACTAACCTGGACCAATTGTCTCACCTTGGGCAACTCCCACCCTTCTCCACAAGGCTTGAACTTGGTTGACCTTGCTGAGTTATTGCCTGCAGCACCCCAAAAGGTTGGAACTGGAGAAGAGGACTGTATGTGACAGTGTGTTGCTGAATGCTGGTGGGACAGGAGATGGGAGAATGCGACATGTGAAGAAGAATCGTCTAGTGTTAAAGCACAACTGTCAGGGCCTGCACACGTCGTTTATGTCACCCTAGAATGCTGTGGCCCTGGGTAGAGGGCAGTGGCATAATCCTAGCTCACTGCAGCTTCAAACTCCTGGGCACAGCAATTCTCCTGCCTCAGCTTTCTGGGTAGCTGGGACTACAGGCACACACCACAATGCCTGGCTAATTTTTTCTATATTTAGTAGAGATGGGGTCTTGCCCTTGCTCGGGCTGGTCTTGAACTCTTGAGCTCAAGCGATCCTCCTGCCTTGGCCTCCCAGAGTGCTAGGATTACAGGTGTGAGTCCCCATGCCTGACCTGACACAGAGAATGTTTTGCAGAGGACCTGCAACCTGGCCTGGGACAGAGTCAGTGCCCAGGGCACACTGTATGCAATGAATTGTCTAGTCACCTACCCTGGGCAGGGACACCCCTTTAACCCTGCCATGCAAGCTCTGAAGAATCTCCAGGCCAAGGTCCAAGTTGAGTATATTTGTTCTAAGCCTACAATCTTCTTCTGCAGACAAAACATATATGACTTTTATTTTTTTTTTCATTTTTTTAAAATTTTTGCATATTATGGGGGTACAAGTGTTAAGGTTACGTATATTGCCCATGCCCTCCCCCCTACATATGACATTTAAATATATTCTAAAACCCAGGCCGGGTGCCGTGGCTCACACCTGTAATCCTAGCACTTTGGGAGGGCAAGGCAGGAAGATTGCTTGAGCTTGGTAGTTCAAGACCAGCCAGAGCAAGAGTGAGACCCGGTCTCTACTATAAATAGGAAGAAATTAGCCAAACAACTAAAAATAGAAAAAATTAGCCAGGCCCGGTGGTGAGTGCCTGTAGTCCCAACTTCTCGGGAGGCTGAGGCAGGAGGATTGCTTGAGCCCAGGAGTTTGAGGTTGCTGTGAGCTAGGCTGACGCCACAGCACTCTGGCCCAGGCAACAGAGTGAGACTCTGTCTCAAAAAAATAAAAAATAAAATAAAATAACCCCCCAGAGCTCTGAAATCTACAACATGTATACTCCATATTCCAACCTGCCCCTCATAATTTAAGTTATTCCAGAATGTTCTCTCAGTATATAGTACAAATGCCTAGAAGACATAAAAAAGGATGGATTCACAGTCATTAAATTTATACTTCAAATTCTTAGCTTTCTTTATTTCACAAAATACCTTGAATACTTTTTCCTGTTTCTCCTTGGAATTCTCTCTAACCCTTGTTAACAGTTGCTCATATTTTCTTCCTGCTGGTTTGGGCTGGGAAAACCTGCAATGGGAGGGTGGGGAGAGACTCAGAAGGGAGAGCTAGTGTTCTCACTGGTAGGTGGCTGTGTCGTGTGGGGCCCCTCTCTCTGGCTCTGTTCTTCATGGCAGACCTGCCCCAGGAAAGGCAGAGATTTTTTAGATATCACCTCACACACCCCCCCCCTCGCCAAAATAAAGCCATAGGCAAAAAAAAGCAAAAATAGACAATGGGATTATATTGAACTAGAAAGCTTATGAAAAATAAAGGACACAATAACCAGAGGGAAGAGACTATTTACAGGATGGGAGAAAATATTTTTAAAGCATACATCAGACAATAGGTTGATTTCCAAAATACAGACGTACCTCAAAGATATTGCAGATTCAGTTCCAAACAACCATGATCTAGTAAATATTAAAATTAAGTGAATCACACATACTTTTGGGTTTCCCAGTGCATGTAAAAGTTATGGGTACACTATAATGTAATTTCTTAAGAACATAATAGTATTATATCTAAAACATGTATATACCTTAATTTAAAAATACTTTTTTGGTATAAAATGCTAACGATCATCTGACTCTTCAGAGAGTCATAATGTTTTTGCTGGTCGAGGATCTTGCCTCTCAAGTTTCATTCTTCTAACTGTCTGTTTTCAATGTCATACTCTTGTCTCACCTGGGCCTGGTGAGGACGGGACAGTGGGGCCCACCGGTAAGCACAGGCGGTTGAGCCCATCACCAGGCAGGAGCCTTTTGTCTTATTCAGACACCAGCTCACCCTGCCAGTAAGTAAGCCACTTCATGGAATCTTACTGCTGGGGTCACTAGGTGGCACCCCTCCAGGCACAAGGGGAGCTGTGGTTACCTGCCATGGTTGGAGGCCAGTTGCCTGAGGTTAGACAAGTGGTCCGGGTTAGCCCCCAGAGTTGGGCTAAGCAGTGAAAGCCACTCTGGGCTCCTCCTTCCCTCCACTGGGCCTCAGTACTACTCCCCATGAGGTCAGCCCAGGAACACCTGTTCCCCGCCAGGCAAAATGATACCAGGGCTATGAGTGGATGCGTCCTGGGGTTCCCTTCCCTCCTACCTGTCCCCTCTACATTCATCCTGTGAGCACCACTAAGGCAAGACTATGGCTTTGGGGACGCTGGATCCCTGAGCCCCGGTCCTGGCACAGCACGGGGTGTGTACGATGGGCTGGAAGAACTTGACCCAAGTTGGGACCAAAGATGGGCCAAGGCCCATCCAGTGTCACGTGCCAGATACTTTCCCACACTTCTGAATCTTAAGAACTTTCAAGCATCTAAGAGGGAAGGAAAATCCAGGTGAAAGGCTGATTTGGGTTCAAAGGGCTTGCTTAACCCCTGGGACCAGTGGGGGGGATGACATTTAACTGGCATCAAATGACTCCAAAAGATGGATGACTCACTTGCAAGGTGGTGATGGCAGGGGTGGGATTGAGTGACCCTATTTTCAGACCCTCCAGTTTGCTGTGTGAGACTGCAGGGTTGAGATGGCCGGGGCTGCTGTGCTCCTGTCCTGCCCTGTGACCCTGCTGTGGCCCCCCGCTCCTTCCTGTAGGACAGGGAGGGGATGAAAGTCTGCAGGGGCTCTGTGCAAACTGCAGTGGGCTGTGCTGGGAGGCGTGTGAAGTCGTGCGGGAGGACAGATCTCACCGACAGGGCTGGAGTCAGCGCTCTGGACTGGGGGCCACAGGGCACATGCTCTGCACCCAGCAGCAGCTGCACCTGCTCCACCTGCGCCTCAGTGCCGGCTCCCTGGGGTAGAGGCAGGAGCTTCTGGATAATGGGGCAGAGAGCCATGGGGAGTAGCCAAATTCCAAATGAGGAAAGCGATGGCACTGCAGGGCCACAGGCCTGGCAAGTGTGCCACCCTTTCAGTTGTCCTTCTGGTGGGTGCCTGGCCCAGGTTGCAGTTTGAAGAATGAGCAGGAAATCGCCCCATCTGTGTGGCTGCAGATGGCAGGTCACCTGGCCTCTGCTGAGAGTCTGCAGTCCCAGTCCTGGTCCTCTGTGCCACACCCAGGTCAGGGGTCGGGAGAGTGGGGCGGTGCCATGCCCTGACCTCCTGCTATTGGGCAGCGGGTGTCCTGCTCTTAGCCAGAGCCATTGCATCTGTGGTTCAGAGCATTTTCCTAACAACCGGGAGATACAAGGGTTGCTTTCCCTGTTGTACAAGTGGAGAAAATCAGGTTTGGCAGGAGTAAGTCTGTGGCATTTTGATTCCGACCTGCTTTGTAATAGCAGCTGCCTTCTGGTCTGGGAAGAGCATCTCCTGCCATTCCTACTCGGGTATTTGTGCTAATGGGGGGAAAGGATCCACCTGGCGGGGAACAGCACGGTGTGCTCAGCGTCTCTCCAACACCTGGGACCATGGCAGGCAGGTGAGAGAATTTCATTATACAGACCAGGAGGCTGCAGCTTGGGGACAGGGGGTGTCTGGGGCAGGACCAAACTCAAGTCTGTACAGAGGGGCTCGTAGGGAGAGGGGAAACTAGGGGCACCTGCTATTAAAAGTAACATGAAGACAATTACAGAGTTAAACTGGAAGAATTTTACTGTCAGTCATGAGAGTTTAGTGGTGATATTATGCAATGCCTGAGATTGAGTTTCTATGTCCCTCGTTCTCCTCTGCCGCCATATTCGTCCTTGGTCTCAGCAGAGAGGAGGGAGGGCACAGCAGTGTCTTCCCAATGTGAC